ACAGCCTTCTGCAGTACTTGATGGTCATGCAATCATTTGAATCAGCTGTTCTGGAATAGAGGCACATCTAAAACATGCAGAGCAGGGGGCTGAGGACCAGGGTTGAGAAATACTGGTCTAAAGGGTGTGAGGATAATGAAGAGAGGCGAGAAGAGGAAGGAAAACAGTGAGAGACTAATGCTGGCAGAACTTTCCTTTTTCATACCACAGTTCAGTACTTCTTTAGTTTTGGCAAAATTTGATGCACGCAGCTTTTTAACTCACAATTTATAGGCCGACATTGTGCTAAAGAGTAATTATGGAGAAATTACTGTAGGTGTGCAAACAGACATTCTGGTTTCCAAATGAGCTGATTTTTTTTTTAATCCAAATTATGTGTTGTCTGAAGTTTTGTCACAGCTCTCAGGCTGTCGACTTGGACGACTAACGAAGCCCTCTCGTAGGCCAGCTTTTGGGGCTTAGCCCAGACTTGTTTTCAGTTCATAGTCCCACAGATGCCAGCAGAGCTGTCCAGGTCTCACTGACCGGAGCAAAGAGGTGGCAGAGTACTCTCTGCCTGGAGTAGGAAGTCAGCGAAATGCCAGAAGTGCTGCACTCCAAAGCCCCAGACCTTGTGGCAGATCGCTCAAGAGGTCCACATTGAGTCACCGACTCTGCCCCGGGCACGCGCTACTTTGCTCCCCCGTTAGTGAGAGCAGGCTGTTCTTGCCAGTGTCTCTCTGAATAAAAGAGAGTACAAGCAGACTATCTCAAACAGAATGTTTTTCAGCACCAGTCAGTGAAACATTTAAGAATGAATTTGGGGTAATAAAATGAAGTTGGTGTTAAACAGACATAATCAGCTGAGTTCTCTGTAGGCATACAGTTGTATCTCTGGGGGTAAAAGAATTTTATGCTTGAAGTTTAGTAATATTATTGCTTTAGGAAAGTAATAACTCCTAGAGACGTGGGCAGCAATAGTTGAAACTTGGAATTATCATTCCAGCATGTTCAAGTTAAACTGTTTGATCCCTCCTTCCTTTCTTCCAAGCCCCAAGCGTTGGGAAAGTTTAGTACAGCACATACTTCCTCACAGCCTCAGACAAATGCTACTCAAAACTATCCATCCTGCTCTATGGCTAAGAAACCAGCTTCTGGAAGTTGAGGAGCTGAGGATGTTTGCCATATAAACAGATGCACCCACAAGATTCTGACCAATTACATAACAGTTTCTCATGTAAAGAGGGGGTGAAAAGTAGCCAGTAAGGTTGTGGGGTATAAAATGATGCAATTTTCATCACTCAACCATTCAAGGCCCTTAAGAATGTCTTCATCTGCTTTCTGAATGACTCTGGCTTAGAAACCAAGAAGGCTTGTTCCAATCTCAAGGATTGCTAAATGTTTTCAAAGTCAGCAAAAACACTAAAGCACTGATTAAGACTAATATCCAGGTCCAGGTGGCTTGCAGAAGCACAAGGCACAATTGTGTTTTATAAATAGCGGGTGTCTTCCAATGTGACATGTATGTGGTCTTCTTCCGAGAGAATTCTGCAGGAGTTTTTTATATCCTTTGTCCATGGGGCATTGGGGTTATGTGATGCCTCCTTCTCCCATTGCTTTGTCCAGTATTGCTCAGTTTCAGCTCTCGGTGGTTCTTGGTGCAGGTTCAGTTGGCCAGAACCAAGAGGCAATGCTTGCTGGACTCTAATGTCTCTGGAATGAACAGGTTTGAGTATTTTCTGGGCTGTTTGGTCTTATTTCAGCTTGTTTGGAACCTCATACTCATTCCTTGAAATTTTCAGTTCTAAACTTTGTCCTTTAGAAGTACTGCACATTGGGGAGGCCTTAGTCCTCAATGCGACCGGTATTTTTTTTTAAAATTCAGATGCATTTTTGTAGTTTTAAAGACATTCACAGAAGTATTCAGGAAGCATATGACAGGCTTTATTCATAATTAAAAAGAATTTCAGATATCTGCACAATCTCCTGCTTCTTCACTGCCCAAAATACCTTAAAGCTTTGATTTGGGGGGGCAATATGACAGCGAACTGGAAGTCTTGTCTCAATACTGGGGAAGCTGTGGTGTGAGAACAGCATGACACTAGTTCTGTCCTGGTCCTTTCTCTTCACACATGTGAGTCCACTGTTCCCATACAGACTCGTAGGGCTGTGAATGTGTATGTGCTGCATTCTTGTTATGCTTACCCAGAAGCCCTGCACCTTGAGGATAAAAAACAGACATCCAAGTTTGAATCGCTCTGTCTCCCTACCTTAAATCACATGGTTGCCTCAGCTGTGTTTGTGTTTATGTGTGAGATTCTTTGGTGTTTGCCCAAGTTACTAAAATAGCTTTACTTAATCCCCCTTAGGTTTCAATAGCTGTCACCAAACCTTATGTCACCTGAGCCATGAAGGGGGAAACAAGAAGCAGGAAATCAAACAGGAGTGAGGAGCTTTATGCAGAGAACAGGCAAAAGTAACAGAAGGCAAATTATTTGGAGGTAATACAAAAGCTAAAGCTAAATAATAAATTTTGAAGAGAATAAAAAAGCAGATTTGGAGGACAATCATTCAGTCCGCCTTTTGAATGACGCATCTTCATCAAACATTCCGACTCTGTTCTCGTACCTTCTGCTACGGATCACAGGCTTATTGTTGAGCCCTGTAAGCATGGCTCTCTTGTGTTGGGGCTAAAACACTTCCTAACAACACACATCTAAAGCGACGCCATGTTAGGATGTCAACACCTACAGGGTCAGTCATCCTGGCATGACTCTTTCCTTGGCTTTAAAATAGCTGGCATCAGCCTGCAGAAAGGCCTTTTTAGGAAAGACAAATACAACATGTTTGTTTGTTTATAATCCAAACCACAAACCTCTGACTATTTTGTTGGAGTTTTCCATCACGCAACACAAATTAGTGCTTAACTATGTGACAGATAAATGTAACTTTTTGTTAAACAACCACTATTAAGAAGACCAAACATTTGTGTGAAAAAGGCTGCATAAAAAAGCGTCATGCTGAGCCCTTTAAGGGGCGGAGCTTAGAGCAGCGGTGAGCAGCATGCAGACGAAGAACTGGGGAGAAGGAAAAAAGGAACTGTAGGATTTACCGTTCACATTTTGTATAGTTTGACTTGCTGTTCGCAGTTTGTTGTCACCATCTTTTGATTCGTGTGCGTGGAAATGCAAGTAAGTAACGTTAGAAGTTAAGGACATTGTTTATTTAGCCAAATATTTCGGTTTTTTACCTTGATAGCATGTTTTGTTCACGTGCGTATTTAATAAGAGCTACACAAAGTGGGTTTTCGAGTGTTGTATTTATTTAGAAACGGGGATATTTGTAACAATTAACATTGCATTTGTTTTAGTAATTGTGATATTATTTAGGTAATTTATTTAGGGATTATTCAGACACCCATGCTGTATTATTTATATTTCTAGAACCACACAGTTATGTCAAATTGAGAAATAAACAGCAAGTGCAAGTTAAACCCACTGGAGTGCAACTCTGCTTTCTTTGGAGTTCTAAACGGACTCACCACAGTAATCTGAACATTTACACTAGCAAATTACAGTCCCTATCTTTTAATTAGAGTCAGGGAAAAATATGTGAAGAGGTTTAAGACATCGTCAGCAGTGGTGGGCACACTACTGCTGCTAATGTGCTAATACCTCTGCTAATTCTTTGTTTAGCGCTTTTGCTCACTGAAAAAACTTAGGACATTTAGCTTTTTCTAAGCTAAACACTTAGCTTCCCTTAATTTTTTCAGCATAAATTCTAATAATCTAATTTACTTGGGTGGTTTGTAAAGTAAGTTTGACATCTGTGTGGAACTTTTGGTTATAGTGGCCTGCCACAGCAATACATGGAAGGCAGTTATTATTCTTCACCCGAAAATAACTGTTGCTTTCTTTCACCGTTAATGCAACCGAACTGCGGTGTGCAGCCCCACTATATATATATATATATATATATATATATCAAAACATGTGGCTTGATATAACCCTTGAGGGGGCTGTTACTTTTGTTGGTATTTCGAATTACTATGGCGATGTAATTTGCAAAAAAAAACGAGCCAAATTCAAATCAAAACAAATTCTAACGGACACTGTTTTGTGTCAGTAGGCGCTTTCGCACTGCACGGAACGGAACGGTATGGTACGGAACGGTTGTGTTCGCATTACAACTTGCGACCAGTGTTATAGATCAACTAGTGGCTAAATCAACTGGTGGTGGCAGCTGGAAAAGACTGATGTTTCTGTGGGCGTGGCTTTTTAGGACCCCCCACTACTGTTTCCATAATGTTACACTTTATTTCCTAGCTCATTTACAGAAGACATGGCTACCGCAGATCTATGTGGCAGTGTCATTAATTCCTTATTGTTGATATTTTTTCTCGTCTTTATTCTTTTTATCAAGTGACCGTAATTCTCAACCATATGAGACATCGCTGAAAAAACAATTGTCTTATATACTTTTACATCAGAAACAGGTTAAAATCTTCACTCGAACTGAGATTCTGAAAGTGCCACCAATTAATCCAGGCCTGGTTCTTAAAGCGCGGGGTGTACGCTAGGAAATAAAGTGTAGCGTTACAGAAGATTTCGCTATAGTTTCTGTGGATACCTATTTGAAATATCACAATATGAGGAATATGTGGAAAAATTACACAGCCAGTCGATCTTTTTAACATTTCATTTTTAATCCCAAGGCTCTTCAACATTTATGTCGGCTTTCAGGGAATAATCTTTGCTTTGAGATCTGCTCATGCCACATCGAGATCTATTTCGATCTTCCTTTGACGAGTTTCAACCTCTGAAGCAACACATAAGTCAGGACAAGTTCTGCGTAATTTACACGTTTTGATGGTTTTGCAGATGAACTTTAAAAAAAAAAAGGCAACATACCATATTAGACCAATAAATTCCTTCTAATTAGTTATTCCCGAGATCTTAGTGGTTGTTTTACGGAATTGAATAGTATTTTTGCAAAGATTTGTAGTTCTTTAAGCTTTATTGCATTGTTTACTTCCTGGTTCGGTAAAGGGGTCCTAAAAAGCCACGCCCACAGAAACATCAGTCTTTTCCAGCTGCCACCACCAGTTGATTTAGCCACCAGTTGATCTATAACACCGGTCGCAAGTTGTAATGCGAACACAACTGTTCCATTCCATGCAGTGCGAAAGCGCCTAATTAGGCTGCGTTCACACTGCAGCCTGAAGTGATTTGATTCCGATTTTTTTTGACGTAATGCGACCTGTGACTATTAAGTCACAGGTCGAACTGGGTGAACTGTTATTGGTCTTTAAAAGATGTGCAGATTTTCACTGCACAAAAACTGGAAAAATTATTTTATTAGATGTTAAGACATTGAGGAAGCCTTGAGTACTTCAAGAAACTCACCAATATGCCAGCTGTTTACCAGCAAAATAACTTTTACTCGTAATAGCCTCATAGAACCTGACTTCTGAATATCTAAAGTATTCATTTAAAGAGCCAAGATTCACATAAACGCTGATTTGAGACAATCATTAGCTTGCACCGTTCTTTTTTCTGGACTTTCACTCAACTGGGCACTTTGTTTGGTTATATTATGCCATTTAAGCTTTTGCTTGACGTTTGCTGCGACAGGTTTCAAGGAGACCTGGAGCATTTGCTTGGATTAAATATACCATATAGCTGTTTGATGCTCTGAAGTTTATAAACAGCTTTTAGAAGCAACATATATGGGATTTTAGACTAGATGAGCCTGAAGTCGCATCTCACCGAAGTACTAATGAGGACGGAAAATGATGGCTATTTTCAGCTGGAAGTAAATTAAAAGAATAAATAAGCTGAGGAATGTGGCAATAAATAAATAAATAAAACACCGATTCAGATCTGAAGTGTGTTCCTAACTGGAATTAATTGGTAGGCAGCTGCCTGCAGGAAGGCCGAGTGAAACCCTCACAAGTGTGCATCCATGGCGGTTTCAGGTAACGTGACATTCTAGAAAGTTCAGAGGCTTCTTAATGAGATTGAGGTCCGGGAGAAACACACACATTGGCACGCACGCACACACAAACAGAAACTGCAGAGATGTGGTTCTGAAATTGCAAAGCTAAAAATAAAGAAGCACTTCCTATTGTGAGAGGAGATTGGACCTCTCACTGATGCTCACAATGCCATGCCAGCAATCCCAACAGTATCACATGTTCCAGGAGGAAACACAGGTGATCTGCTCAGCTGTCTTCTGATCTGCTTCCACTGTAAAGACTGCCTATCAATTAAACAACGGCTACACAGATTGAGTGTCCACGAGTGTCGGGGCGAGGCGTGTATATCGGGTACAATGTGTGGAAACGGGCTATCTGCTACCGGCTTTGCTGAACACCCTTATGACATTTTAATGACTCACTCAAAGCATGCAGCTTCCTTGTCGTTGGATCATGTTTAGCTTGTCACAGGTGATGCCAGGCCAACCGAACGCTGACCTACAAAATAACAAAACGGGCCGGATACTTGATTGTTGATTCGCTGAGGAGTGATAGAGGATGTGGGTAAAGCAGTGACGTGAAAGGTGAATAAGCTGGAGAAAAGTGAAAACCTCCCATTGTTGTCTTGCCTCTGGCTCCCTTGTAGGCAGATATATCGGCTTCAGTTACAAGGAAAAAAACTCTTTGGTTTCATTCATATGAGAGTTTGATCCAAGACTTACCTGGAACTCAACTTGATCTGTCACAGCAATCCCATGTTGCATGTTATTGCTTACATTTGCGCATGCTCAAAACACTGGAGGGCAAAACAATGATTCTTTAACTTGCCATCCATAGCCGTGTTGCTGCAGTGGAACAATTCTGTTGACAAGTTGAAACTTATAGATGTAGGTGTTATTTAGAGCAGTGTGCCTCAGCAAAAGGGAAATGACACAGAAAAATCTTTGAACAACTCCAAACCATTAGTAGTCTTCTTTTTCCTTTTTTTTGTCTCGTCTGCACTACACACAGATTTGTTGTCATAGTAACTGACTGACAACGGCTTCACTAGATGACAAGAGCAGAGATTATGTTCAAGTGTATCAGCACTCAACACCAAAAATCATGAAAGAAAATATTCAGTCTGTTACAGCATCATGTTTTCAGACTTGATGTTTACTTTGCAATTATTACATCAATGATCATCTGAATCAATCACTGATTAACTAGTTTAAGCTGATTAGCGACTCAAAACCTTCCGCGATCGACGTGTTGCACCGCTGCTCTAGTAAAGCACGAACAGTTCATAAACAATATGACATTAAAAAAAAAGGTGTTCATTAACTGATTAGGTCGTGTTTTAGATTGTTCTTGAAAAACTAATCAGTCCCCGCTGATAAGTGGGTGCCCTCACGGCTGCCCAGTGAACCCATTGATTTTTTTTTTTTTTTTACAGCTGACAGTCGCTCCTCTCTCTTGTAGGTACTGCGTACCCCCTCTAAATCTTTTAGGGGTACGCAGTACCCTACCATACCCCCTTACTTTCACCCCTGGTTAAAAATTCAAGTAAATACACTAACCTGTGTATTTTTGTTTCAAATCACAGTATGCCAACTACGAAAACATGAACGACACCTCTGTTAAAAGAGAAATAATGCATCTCATAACAATTTTAACAAAATCTGAATTCTTGAGTTTGCATTCTTAAAGCTTTAGTGTAAATGCATTTTTTTAAAAGTGCTTTTACACATGAACTACACATTTTTTATACATTTGCTATGAAAAAAGTTAATTATTCAAACAGCTCATGTTACGTTTGTCTTCTGCATGTTGGACACATCACTGTTGTAATTATGGTGGGTTTGAAATTTTTAATTATCTCATAAATACGCAAGTTTTTAGGAGATTCACCAAGTTTGTAGTGCTGCTTTATCGTGTAGCGCATGTACCTCCAAATGGCACACTTGGTTCTTTTCAAGGCTGCTCTCCACGTTATGTTGTGAGAGTCCCACCTTCCCAGGATGGATGCGCCTTTTACACTGAAATTGTACATCAAGATTCAACATTATTTCTGAGGTTTAAAAATACAATTATAAAATCACTTGACCAAACAGGGTTATATCTGGATAGAACTTCTTTGCGACCAAGACAAGAAACGTTGTGCCGCTTAATAGCAGGATGACAAAGGTCAATGTTATGCGATAACACGACAACCACAATAAGTTGACAGAATCCCAGTAGATGTATAAAAACAGGATTTATCTTTCTTAGCAAAAATACCAAAAAGGTTTGCACAGCCTGTGGGGGAGAAAGGGGCAGTTAGGTTGTGCCAAATCAAATACATTAATAAAACAAAACGGGGCTTAATTACCATCAACCTCTAAGTGAAAAACAAGAGAAAAGAAAACCCTGCTAATCTGATGTAACAAAAAGACTCACCAAAACATTACATGGGTGGCACCAACCTACTTACCAAGGGTGTTTAACAGAAAGAAACCTACATGATGAAAGTATACAGGGAACCCCAAGCTTACTCAGACCACTAACTCCCACCACAAACCTTTACACACACAAAGAGCCAAACATCAAGACAAGTGTCAATTGGTCAGCCAGGTTGGGTTGACAGACTCTCACACAGCCCTGCAGGTGAGCTTCTTGTATATAGGTTCCTTAAGTGTTGATTGGTTCCTCTCCAACCCACCAATCAGCAAATTGGCACCAGCTTCCACTCTGAACCTGTGGAGAGACAGGAAAAGGGAGGGGGTAAAGAAAAACGCAACCAGTCTGACAGACATGCAACACCTACACCCTTATAAGTCCAAGCAAAATGTTTGGAACTGTCAAAGTTGTTATGTTTTGGAGTCAGTCATAATTGAAGTCATCATTAATTCTTTTGTGACAAATTTTAAGGTCAAAACATAAAAACCACCTCCAGACTAATGTTAGCATGTGGCTATTTTTGTGTAATGACCAGAAAAGATGCATTTGAGTTCAAGTAGAAATCAGGATTTTGCAGATGTTCCAATATTATGCAACAGCAAACACCAAAACTCATTATTTTCTATTCAAACATAGAACGCCCTGAAAAGCATCAGCAAAAGGTCAGAGATTTGTGTTTGCCGAGTTAAGTACCAAGACTGTTTTAGTGATTTTTCATAATAAGACGATATCCCAAGGTGTTTAATAATGCATTTCCATTAACTGGTAGGAAACTGAGGGACCAGACTCAAAAGAGGACAAAAAAGTGTTCAAAATAGAAAAGGTTTCAATTTAATTCTTCCAAAAATAGATAACAAAACATAAAGATTTAATGCACGGATAAGTCAAAGGACAAGTAACAACTTGGGCCCAAATTAACTTTGGTCAACCGAACTCTAACTGAACACAAACAAAAACCTGCATAGAACAAAAGATTGCTTAAATAGGGGTGGAGTAACCTAAATCTACCACATGAGGGAGGCACAACATAACAAAAGCACAAACAAATACAAAATTAACTATAGCATCCTATGAAACAAATAAAGCAAAACTAACTTTAACTTATCACAATAATAAGTGAATATTTAAGTGACAAAATTAACTAATTAAGATCGACTTGAAACAACAAAGTCTCCCCCCTTCAGTCTTTCAGAAGAAAATGGTTTGTTGTTCCAGTTTTCCTCCTCCAGCTGGTTTGTATCAGCAGCACCTCAAACAAAAATCAAGTGCAAGGAAACCATTCAGACAGACATTAAAGTGTGCACCCATTAGAAAGTATATGTCTAAATGGAATAGCTAACTTAAACGGACTATAAGCTGTAACTAATATAAAGAAAAAAATACTAACACGATGTGGTGGTGGTAGGAGGATCCACCACAGAAACGAATTCAGATTTAATGTAGAATTTAGAAGAAAAATGCTGACAGAAACATGAATGATGGGGCTGAACTAATACATTCAACTTTAGCTTTTCAAAACCATTTCTTCAACTGCTGTTTTTTTTTTTGTTTTGTTTTTTTTGTCTGGAGTAAAATCTTAGCTGCTTGGCAGGAAATATAACCTGCCTCTTGGTTTCTATATCTGGTTCATAATTTATTAAAAGGACATTGATATGCATGGAGCAGCCTCGCTCTGGCTTCATCCATATTCACTCCACTGCCACGGCGCCAAGAATGGAGGGAGACGGTTTTCTGGAGGAGGGAGACAAATACATGTGTAATGACCTGGACAGCATGTGTGTTTGAGTGTGCGAGCTACATCAACTGTATGCAGTACAGTTAATCAGATGCTTGGGCTCCTAACGAAACACGGGCTGCAGATGAGAATAAATTACACCCACCACTCCTCTTCCCTCTTCCTTTTTGTTTACATGATGCTATCTACTACGGACAACAGGAACCTTGTTCTTAACCTGCTCTATTAATCCACTTTCTGTCTGAATTTGTGTAGTTTTGGTTTTAGCCCTACAAGAAGATACTTTATTGTTTATCTTCTCTTATACACACACTGCCACAGTACATTCCAACTAATACTAACTAATAATAAATATCCAGTAGAGAAATCCAAATGATCCACACATGTTTTCCAGCCATCCCACAAGGTCCAGGCATTTGTTAGAACTGATTTGGCTTTTAAGTACAGTTCACAAGTCAAGTCAAAAATCGCTGCGTTTCCATTACAAATGTGCGCAAAGCTGTTGATATTCCGCTTATGTTGCAAAAACACAATTTCGCAATTGTAGTGTTGCCATAAAATAAGAAACACAATAAGTTTGTTCATGCGATAAGTCATTAAAAATCACCATCATCTTCCATTTCCTGACGTCTGTCTTTTCCACCACTAGTAGCATCCGGTTTTCATTGCAGTTTTGAAATATAACTGGAAAAAAAAACAAAAAAACCTGCTCATTGTTAGCTCAAAAACGTTTAATCAAAAGACATGTCTTTTATCCAGTGAACATTGTCTTATTAAGTTTTGAATGTTAACATAAAATTGATTTTTATGTGTAGAAAAATAAAGAAAAAATAAATTGGCAGTGTGGCGAAGCCAGACATCACAACGTTGCCATACGTTTGCCTAAATTCTATGGATTCCATCCGACGTGCTTTTTCTCCATAAAAATCATATAATATTCATGCTAATCGACCATTTCTGTTACATTTCTAGATTTTATGTGTGACAAAAAGTTTTAAAGCTAACAGTGCATACAGAATTATTTATAACTGGATAGTTGCTCTGTACTAACAGAACTTTTAAGAACTACAAGTTAAACTTCCAAGGTAAAACAGATTTTTTTGGCAGTCTCCAACTGGCTTTGAGTTTAATAATACTAGTCAGCTTTATGTTGTGGATTTTACAGGCTGTGTGTAGTTCGTGATAGATGGCGATAGGCAGATGGTTTAACTTGTGCCATCTGTGAGTGATTTTGGAAATTTTTTTGCACATTTCCTAACAGTTTCCAACGATGACTTTTTCCAGGTTGTTCAGTAGAGCGAACCATCTGTTAGGTCAAATAAATAGTTTATATAACAGTGCAAAATGTGTTCCTGCCTTTTATACACTTGTTTACTTTCTTCCACACAAATTATTTTGCTTTCTAATTATACAGCATTCCTTCAAGCAAGATATGCTATATTATCAAAGATCTACATGTAAAGGTATCTAAATACACATTACATAAGTTTTGTAATGAGCTTGCCAACAATTTGCTGCTAAAACAACTTTAAGTCTTCTGGGAAAAGTGTTTATGGAATTATTTGACCATTCTTCCAGAAGACCGTTTTTAAGGTCAGACACTGACGCTAGATCAGTTCTCTGCTCAAATTTATCCCAAAACTGTTCCTTTCTGACTGGACCATAGGTGTGTAAGGGTTCATCTAGATATATTATTTGTAAATGTTACAACTGTAAAAAATAAAAATAAGTGAGCCCCCCAAAAATGTGTTGGCCCTTCTCGCTTATCCCTAATTTGCAACCATTGGAGTCTACTCAGTAGTTTTTGTTTAAATGAGATGCCTTCTTTTGCAGAAAACAGATTTTTTTTTATGTCCCTCACTCCTCCCCACCCTAGTCCAAGCAAGATCCTCACTAATCTCCAATGTACACATACTGTAAATATGTTTGGTTTTGTAAATTAATAAAAAAAAAATTATTACTAAAGATTTGCTATTTGGAAGACGAGTCTGCAACGATCTACTCTCCTCTTACTGCCTTCACCTTTTCTTGTTGCGTGTAACACCATCTTGCCTTTCGCCCTGCCAGATCGTTTCTGGCACCGTCTCATTGTTCCACCCTGTTCTGTTTCCAAGACAGACCTGGGTTGTTCTCAACTTGCTGTTTTACCCTTCAGTAGCCCTTCAGCTCAGCTTGAAGGTAAAGCTTAACATCTCATGTGGGATGTAACCTTCTTGGCTGTCCTAGACTGTGAAACCCTGGGTTGTTACCAGTAAAATCCACCTGTAAACTAAAAAAAAAAATAAAAAAAAACACACTGAACTCATTTTGATTTTAATGGGCTCTTTGCACCTCAGCTTCCGCGTTCGGGGTAAAGCGGCTCGATTGTTTCCGATC